GCAGGTTGCCCTTGAAGCTAACAACAAACACTAATCAGTCAGTCCTGGGTGGCAGTGAGGCTGCATAATCAATAAGAGGGAAGTGAACACGGTGTGCACAGCGGAGCGGGGGACGGGTGCAGGGAGGGTCGTAGTTTGGAAGATGCTCACTGAAAAGCAGGGTCTTCAGGAGCTTCTTGAAAATCGACAAGGCCCCTGTTGTGGTAGTGCTTCGTGGGTCATTCCACATCTGTGGAATTGCCCTGAGCGTGGTGTAGGCACTGCTAGCTGACGATCCTTGTATGAGTGTAAAAATGTTAAAAATGTACATCAAATTATTTAGAAATGCAAGTAAAACATCCATCTGAGTGTGTTTGAAAGGAGCAGCTCATGAGAGGCGAGTGTGTGCCTGGGTCTCCCTGTTAACTCTTTCCTTCAGCAGTTTGGGGGGGGAGGCTGGGTTCCTGGAGTGCGTCAGATTGTCTGCGGGCCTCTGTTTGGACAAGCCGCTATGTCTATTGTCTCTGCCGCCCCAGCTGGGTTGAGGTATGCCTCCATGCTCCTGAAATAGACAGACAGCTGAGGGCTGCCATGCGTGCCGAGTCAGGGCCGGCCACGCGGGTCTGGGTCCGCCCAACCCAGAGATGGGGCATTGTCTGGAGCCAGAGCCTAATGTCAGGGGCCTGAACCCCCTAAACTGCTAAAAGACTGATTAACTCCATCGTGTGTGTGATTGTTGCCTACGTGTGGGTCAGTGGGGGTGGGGGGGGGGGTGGGGGGTGGGGGGGCAGGGCTTTAGAGTGTGTTTGTGCCACGCGTCTGCCCGTCTCCACTCTGATGAGCTGGCAGCTAAGACCTGAGCCCACACAGTTGCTGCTAGGTATTGTGGGCAGGCATGAGGCGATTACAGAAATATCCAGCAGCTATGAATGCTTTGATCCAAAATGAATCACCGCCCAACTTTAGGCTGCCATTACCGTACGAGAACAGACAATTTAATATTTACCCTTTTATAGACAACAGAACAGTAAACCAAACTAGCATTCACGCGGATAAGAGAGTCAAAATATCTCATCAGAAAAATATGGTGATTTTTTTCATCAGAAAGTCAGACAGGAAAATTTAGCATCCCTTTATTAACATTACTTTAGTGCATTATTAAGCATTAATAAACTATTTATTAAGTTATTAACAACTGCTTAACCACATTATGTAATGCATGACTAAGCAGACACCCCCAACTCTGGCCCTTTGTCTTAACCATCAACATTAATATATGGACAATGGGTTTCCATAGACTCCAATAACACGTTTTTGTACTAAAATGGGAGGTTCCCACCACCGCCATTTTGACCGTGTCACAGGTTCCGTCAAGCCCAGACAATTCCATAAAAGGGAAGAGAGGAGGAGCTGAGGGTGGGGCTGTAAGGCTGGGATCAACTGACGACACCCGGTCGAACTAGCTACAAGTTAACCTGAAGCTAACCCAAAGCTAATGCGGAGGTGGGAGCTAAGCTAACGAAGGTAGCAACCTAGCTACACCCGGAGTTAACTGTGCACAACACCAGAGCTTCTGAGTCAGATACGCCGGGCTGACCGCTGGGTAAAACCAGGTGGAACACAGAGGTCTCAGAGAGCTCCACAAGCCAGCAGCTGCACAGCAGACAAGCGCCGCTGCGATCTGAGATGTGCAGAGCTGCCGCTGGGGAGAACCGAGTGGAAAGGTTTCCATCCCAGAGCTCCACAAGCCGTCAGCCCGCGCAGCAGACTGAAGCCGCGATCAGACAGAGATGCGCCGAGCTGCGGGGAGGGGAGAACGGGTGGAAAACATCGGTCTCCCGAGAGCTCCACAAGCCGATAGTGGGAACCCAGCTCCACCAACATGTTATATTTCAACCCATTTTCTAAAGTGCAGCATTATGTTAAATGCACTGGGGTTTTACCCTATTACATTTAAATTTCATGGTTAAACAGTACATGTTAAAATTTAAGCTCAGCTCGGCAGTGACCTGAAATACATAAATATAATTTTACTTACCGAAAAAAATGAAGTGGAGACTCCTTGGACGCTCTATTAGTGCAATTAATGCCACAGCAAGTCATTTTGTCCAACAATTGCACAAATAATATCCAAAAAAGAAAACACAAACACAGAGACTCAAAATCCCGGAACAGTTTCCAAGCCAGACCGAGGCTCTACTGAGGCCTTTCCACGGAGCTAGCTCTGTGGTCACGTGGGTCTGATGCTCATTAATTATACAGAATTTTAGGCTTTTAATACACTTAAACAGAAGAGTGAGGAAAAATTCAGCCCCCTCAGAGTTGTCATGAGTGTAAACTAGATAATTTAAACTGAAAACATGTTTTGGAACCAGGCTGTAAACATGTTTATTTCTGTTGTGAAATTGGTATTTTTAACATGGAAGTCAATGAGGATTTGCTCGCTTCTGACACCAGCCCCTAGTGGATGAGGATGGAACTGCAATTTTTGGTACTTCCGGGTTGGGCTCAATTTTAGAGTCGCATTGTGGGGGCTTGGTCTTAACCTTAAGGACATTTAATAGTTAACAACAACTGTAACGTTAAAAAAGGGACTCTTTGTATATTAATGCTTAATAATGCACTCAGTAATATTAATAAAGGGACTTTTTATTGTAAATTGTTATCAAAAATATGTTTGAAATAAAATGTATTTGCCTAAAAGTTGATCATCTTTCAAGAACTTTATTATTTCTCATATAATAATAATGATAATAATGATAATGATAATAATAATAATAATTATTATTATTATTATTATTATTATTATTATTATCATAAATAGTTTAATAATAATAACAATTATTTATTATTAAAACAATGACAACAATAACAACAATAATACAATTATTTAATAATAACAACAACAATTATTATTATTATTATTATTATAGCAAAAGCAATAATAATAATAATAATAATAAGTAGATTTATAGAGAGGGATTCAGACTCTTGTTGGTCTGTTTCCTCTGTAAGTGGATGTTTTATTTCCTTCATCATCATTTTACTCTGTTCAGATGGCCTCATTCAGGGACACTTGCTATAAAATTTCAAATTCACAATTTAACCTTTAAACATTTTAATTTATACATGTTTTTATTTCATTTATTTTTTGCATGCATAAAATACCAAGCAGAAACATAAATAATAAATACAGTGTTTGGTTGGAACTAAATATTTAATATGTACATTTAGTCTGTTCATGAGCTCCTACTTATTCCTGCGGGAGAGGGGGGGGGGGGATTCATAAATACAGCACCTCAGGCCTCAGGAGGCTAATGAGGTCATATCTGTAACCTTCAGGTGGCACGTTCTGACCCAGATGTGGAGGAAAGAGTGATGTCAGAGTTCTGAGGATGAGTGTCCCCTAAACGGAGTCCAACATCAGCGAATCACCAGTGGACCCGTCCTCCTCCTCCAACACGAGCCACCATGTTGGTGCTGAGGCCTGCAGCTTCTCTGAAGCTCAGATTTTATTTACAAAGAGGATTCAAAGCAGCTCAGATGTCCAACAATTAAAACTTAGGCAGCAACAGCCCGTCGTCTCAGAGCTCTAAATGATTTTGAGGAGCCTTGGGGATGTAAGGAGAGCTGCTGCTCTGGACTCAGCTGTTGCATGGAGCTGCAGCATAGCACACAGAGGGATGGGGATGGGTGTGCATGCACTTCACTACGTGTTTTGTGTGGGTGTGTGTTTACGAGTTAGTGAGCTTATTTAAAGCCAGCAGCTCTTTGGGACTTTGGTACTCGTCTCCTCATGTGTTATCAGCAGGCTGCACCAAGTGACACAGAACAGAAAGCAGCCTCTGCCTTTCTGAAGAGACCCTTGTCCCAGAATAGCTACAGCCTGCTCTATCTAAACAATGCCCGTGAAAGTTTCAGCCATCACGGCAACACCTCTCCAGCTGCCACGGCAACAGATAGCAG